AGGTTCCGGCATTGGTACCGGGGAACGGTGGGCACGTTCAATTTCAAATTCACTTCCAGAAAGCTCAAATGCTTTGGCCAGTATTTCCATCACATATTTGTCCACGTTCCCGGGTGTCTCCACACCTTCTTTGAGTCCAATGATCCGTACATTATTCCTCCTGCTACGGTTTTCAAGGTCCTCCACTCACGACCACAACGCGTCCATCCTCTTCTGGAATTTGTCCACTTTTGCCTCGGTAAGCACGCTGGCATCTTCCATGTCTGATATACGTTGTTCCGCCTCCCCTAACCTCACTTTTATATCTTCCACCGAATCTTTCAATTCTTTAGTGGCCTCTTTAATAGTGGTGACATCTTTTGCTACGACCTGAAGAGTAGCGTTCATCTTCTTAATTTCTTCAAAAATGTCTTTTTTGCTCTCGCTCCCTATACCGTCCTCAACTACTGGAGAGGCGGCCTCAGATGCAGATGCACTTTCGGGTGGTTCCGGAGCGAGGCTAATGCTAGCTTGCTTCTTCCTCGTGGTAGCTCCCTTAAAAAAGTTTGCTTTGTTGTTACCTGCCATTTTCCAAAGATGGTAATCCTTGAAAAGCCACAAAGGGCGTCCAATTTACGACTACAGCTGGAGTGTATGTTTCCAGATTCAGAACATTAATCAACAGGCTTTAGGAGCGCCTCTAGTGTGCGGCCATCTTCTTCGGCGGTCCCACGTGACTCCCAAATACAAATAACCTTAAAAATATTCTGCCATAGATCAAAAACTGAAGAAAACCATGAATCAACATGTGAACATTACCTGATGCTGCTGAAGGGAAGCAGAGCACACTGAGAGACAGAGCTGTGCAGGAAGTTTGATTTTGTCTTGGAGGAAAGTCAGAGAAAACGTGTGACGATGTTTATCCGATATGACATTAGTCAAACTCAAATCGATTTGAATGGGGAAATCGATTTTTTAAACCCACCTCTACACCTGTCTGCACAGGTGACCTCCTTACGATCACAAATCCTCCGGAAGTCAGTGCTTTTATTGTGAAGCGGTGACAGGAAGTGCGGTTGTATTCGGTTTTGCCGGAAGTGGAAGAAGCAGCAGCGAAGTTTCCGCGAAACAGACAATAAACAGGCAAAGTGGTAGCCACGTATCGATTATTGTTTGCTGAGTATCAGTTGATCGTCGGTCAGCTCGGGGCAGTAACCGTAAACACCTTTACGGCCGGTGATTGCCGTTAGCGCGGTCTTTGGCCCGGTTGGACCCGGATCGGAACAGATGGGGGCGCACCGCAGTGACGGAGGCCGGGACTGGCTGCAGCAGGACGGGCCGGAGCAGCCGGACCACCCGGAGCAGAGCCCGGTGAGGCCGCGAGCCACCGCACAAACATCCGTCACACGACACCGTGAATATTTTTTTCATGAAAGCTGGTGACGTCACAGTCACGGAATAAACCTAAACACGGTGGTCCGGGTAACTCCAGGAAATAGACGGAGCCCCGGCCCCCGCTTTTTGGTGTGTTTTTGTCAGAGTTGGCTCTCGGGTGGTTTGAGTCACGTGTCTGTTGTCAGAATAAGCCAAACACCTGCTCAGTTGAAAGTAATCCATTACTCTATAGGCAGCAATCTTTTACTATGTGTTAATGTTTGTCGGGAAACACAGGTGCGCTTCACCTGAACACCTGCACACTCTGTTTTCTAAATAACGTTGGGTTGAAAATGTCCTGGTGTGCTCTTACCTGTTCACACGTCATACAGTTACACTCATCTGTGTGTGTGTAGAAGCCGTGGAACTTGATGATCAAACACAGACAGATCCAAAGACGAGGACGGCGCTCTCACATGATGGTCAGGTAAGTGGACCGTTGGATCTGATTGGCTCGTACTTTCTGTGATGGTTGTGGCTCTGTACTATGACGAGAGTGCAACATCCAGGATATGTTTCTGTTGGCTGGATCCACGTACCCTGAGTTTGGCGATCAGGATTGGAGGTCACACGAAGCTGGTTATCACCGCCCTAAGTTCACAGAGGGTTTCTCCTGCACGTTCACATGAAAGAGGCGGGTTTTTTGTGATTGTGACCAATCGCAAACTGGCATTTCATGTCTCACATCACTGTTCCTCCACAGAAAACGATCCCCATGAGCGCCATATCAGTAAAATGCAAATGAGACAGTTGTTCAGTCTTTTGTCGCACACAGTAAAAATCTTGCTTCTAGTTAATAGTTTTGTCACTGAGCGCACTCACACTGCTGTCTGTTTGTAAGGTGGCGGCTGCACATTAAAGCTTCCTGTCCCACAGCCCGATGGAGGAAACAATGCAACGCAGGGTTTATGCTTCATTCGGTTGGTTTATTAAAGTACGGCCTCTCGTGAATAACAGAACGAGTGGAAACGTCCCGCGCTCCTGACAGCGGTAGTTTTTGCTGCTGTGTATGGCGTAATACAAATCTGACCTGGGGTCAGCTGGTGCAGTACAGGTGTGCTGTTTCAGGATCACATATTAATGCTCGAAGACCAAAACTGTTAACTGCCAACAGAAAACAATCAAGAACTGAAGCTGAGGTGATTTATCATTGGTTACTGATGGTCGTCAGGGAAACACAAAGACATTGTTGTTAAAATCCTTAGACCCCTCCCACTGTCACCGCAGCCGTCCGAGGCATCTTCCAAAGGATGCTGACACTATTTTCTGGAGCGCTCGTTGATCAGTAGGAAGTGATGTCGTACTTGTTGATCTCTGATCCGGATCTTAACCTGCTCTGGAGCAGGTGAGGTTCACAGTGTTAGTTACCATGGTGATGAAAACCAGGGGTAACCACCTGGATAAGCCAGGCTTCGTAGCGCAGACCTCTGAGCTCACAGGACGGGAAACGTAAACGCGGCCATTCAGTTTGTTTTTAAAAAACTTTATCAACAACACTCAGACGACAGGAGTCCAGGTGTGTCAGGGTTTCACCTTGAGCAGGACGTAGAGACAGACCTGCTCATCTGTCCTCACCTGTCTGTGCAGCTACACGGACCCTCAGGTGTCCATGGACCTGCTGCGTGCCGTGCTCCAGCCCAGCTTCAACCAAGACATCATGGCCGTGTTCAGTAAATATCAGAAGGTTAGCAGTCGCACTAAAAGGGGAGGGGGTGGAGTTATTTGGTTTGACCTGTGCAGGGGTTCGAGCAAGTGTGTTTGTGTTGCAGTTCTTCGAGAAGGCAGCAGAGAATGTGAAGGAGAACGTTGGAGACGACATTCAGACCGATCACCTGATCAAGGAGGCGTGCAGGAACGTCCTCGAACACGTGAGGCATTCTGATGCTCATGAGACCACCTGAACTCACCTGACAGGTGTACCTGTGAAGCCGGATTAGCTGTGTTGAGTGTAAAGCCTGATCTGTTTCCCTATGATTTCATCTCCAGGCCAAGCAGCTGTTTCCGGAGGCTGAGGTGAAGAGGGCGGTACCAGAGGCAATGATGAAGGTAGGTGTAGGAGCAGGCAGCTTACCTGGGAAGGTAGTCCCGTGCCTCACCTGTTTGTTTCCCGCAGAGGCAACGAGTTGCTGATGACGACTGCAGCCAGAGAGGAAGCCCGCTGCACAAGAAGGTAACCACCCCCCCAACACACACACTCACACACGAGTGCGATCACTGACTCTGATCACTTCCTGTCCTTAGAGAAAGATGCGTCCAGGTCCCGTGGCCTCATCTGATCGACCTCTGACCTTCTCTGTGTGAGTATCTAATAGGTGACATCATCGTCAGTGCACAGGTAGATGAACACACCTGACCGATGTCCATCTGTGTCCTCAGGGTGAAGCCCAAGTCTGAGCCCATCAAGAAGGAGGGGCCCAAGGTGAGTGGTTACTTGAACTGACAGGTGAACTCAACTGAAATAAATGTCTTCATCATCATCAGACCCAATAACACGGTGGCAGTGACCCAGTGTGACCCGATGGGGGCGCTGTGCTCTACAGCGTTGCCTTCATGTCGGGGGTGTAAAGTCGCCGCTGTGATGATGTCACAGTGACGCTGTCTGTGTTTCAGTGGGATCCGTCCAGACTCAGCGACAGCAGCACGTTCGTGCTCGGGTCAAGAGCCAACAAGTGAGTCCGCAGCAGCAACGCCAACAGGAAACGGCGTTCACACAACACTTAAACGTTTAAATGACACGTAAACCTCCACACAACAGCGATACGACGTTAAAATAACAAACATCTTATGTTGTGATGTCACTGCAGGGCGCTCGGAATGGGTGGGACCAGAGGACGAATCTACATCAAACACGCCGACCTGTTCAAGGTAAAATGCTGCATGACGTAACAGGAATCTGACATCTGCATCCATCTTTGGTATACAGTCTGTGGTCTGAAGGCCATGCTGAGTCTGCCTCACCTGTGTGTGTGTGTGTGTGTGTGTGTGTGTGTGTGTGTGTGTGTGTGTGTGTGTGTGTCAGTACGCAGCTGATGCCAAGGATAAACAGTGGCTGGCAGAGAGACACCACATGAGGGCGACAGGAGGAAAGATGGTGAGAAACTATGAAACGCGTCAACTGTGGCTCGCAAATCTCTAAAGTTAGAAATATCCTGTCTCAGAGTGACGCTGAAAAACTAGTTCATGCATTTATTACTTCCAGGCTGGACGACTGTAATTCATTATTATCAG